AGGCTGAGGGTGGTGAAGGGGTGATGCTGAGGGTGGGGGGGTGGTGATTCGGAGGGTGGTGGGTGGTGAGGCTGAGGGTGGTGGGTGTGGTGAGTCTGAGGGGGTTGGGGGTGGTGGGGGTAGTGAGGCTGAGGGGGGTGGGGGGCAGTGAGGCTGAGGGGGTGGGGGCTGGGAGGCTGAGGGTGGTGGGGGTGAGGCTGAGGGTGGTGGGGGTAGTGAGGCTGAGGGGGTGGGGGCTGGTGAGGCTGAGGGTGGGGGGGTGAGGCTGAGGGTGGTGGGGGTGGTGAGGCTAGGTGGGGGGTGGTGAGGCTAAAGGGTGGTGTGGGCTGGTGGAGGCTGAGAGTGGTGTGGGGGGTGAGGCTGAGGGTGGTGGTGAGGCTGAGGGTGGTGGGGGATGAGGCTGAGGGGTGGGGGTGATGAGGCTGAGGGTGGTGGGGTGAGGCTGAGGGTGGTGGGGGTGGTGAGGCTGAGGGTGGTGGGGGTGGTGAGGCTGAGGGTGGTGGGGGGGGTGAGGGAGAACCTACCTTAATTTCCCTGGTGCACCAGTGGGCTCCCTGGTGGTCCGGTGGCCCTTGCTCCCTGGTCGTCCGGAGCTGCAGACCATGTAATCTCGCGAGACCATCAGAGCGTTGCCGTGGTAACCCGCGGCAATGCTCTGATTGGCCGGTTTTCACAAGACACATGGTCTGCAGCTCTGCTCCTCTCTTCCCCCCCGTCCCTTAGTGGTCTCCGCTCTCCGTAGTGGCTTCCTTTCCTCTCCCTGTCCCTTAGTAGTCCTCTCCCCTCCCTTCTCTGTCCCTTAGTTTATCTCTCCCCTCCTTTCCCTGTTCCTTAGTTGACCTCTCCGCTCTCTTCTCTGTCCCTTAGTGTTTCTCTCCCCTCCCTTTCCTGTCCCTTAGTTTCTCTCCTTTCCTCTTCCTGTCCCTTAGTGTCCCCCCATCCCTTTGTGGTCCATTACCCTCCCTGTCCTTTTGTGTACCCCCATAACCCACCCCTTAATGTTCCTCCCCCTCCCTTCCCTGGTTTGCCTCATTACCTCTCTTGTAGCGTGGCTGAGAGGAGCAGACCACGGAACAGGAGCTTCTATTTCCTGTATCCAGCCGGACTGAAAGGAAGTGCTCTCCCAGTGAGCACTTCCTGTCAGTCCGGCCGGGTACACGTATCAGAAGCTCCTGTGCCGCGGTCTGCTCTGCTCGGCCACACTACACTGAGTGACGGGCAGAAGGGAGCAATGTGCGCTTCCCTCCTACTGGGTCACTTGTATCTTGTGCCCCCAGAGCCGGTGTGCCCTAAGGCAGCCACCTGTGCTACCTTATGGACGCACGGGCCCTGGGTGGAGATCAAGAGAATTCAGGTTCCTCCTGAGTTGAGGGGGGTTAGGCTGAGAATGTTGGGTGAAGGGGCTCCAAAGCATAAATAATAAGAGGTGATGATCTGAGAGAGGAAATGCAGCATTACAGAGATTTGAGACCGTGCATGCATCTGAAAAAAAAAAGATTGAAAGAATTGCCAATTACATGCGTGGGAGAATCAGTTCACTCTGATAGCCCAAGGGAGGAAGTAATTAATTAATTAATAGGAATGCTGAAATCTCGAAGAATTAGGGATGGAATATTAACGGAAAAGAAGGAGGGAAGCCAGGTAGCAAAATGGTCATGGAAAAGAAGAGGGGAACCAGGGGGGCGACAAATAATGGCAACGTTTGCAGAAATGTGTTAGAACAGGTGCATTGAATGAATATCAAATGAGGTAAAGGGGGGGTAGGGGGTGGGAGTAGAGGTTTGAAGGAGCAGTGAGGTGAATGCAGGAACCCTACACAGCCACCCGATGATATTGTAATATTATAATAAATAAATGTTACTATATGATGCATTTTCATTGACATGTTGTTTAACTATATATTGCTTCTATTGATGCTCCATCAGCATATCATCGAACAAACTGTGGCCACTGGATTTAAAGGGTTAATACAACCATCATAACTACTACACCCTCCTCTAGATGTTATAATGTCAAGAGTACACAGGTCTTATTTCCGGTAATGGGCCAAACTGTTTTACAACAGCCCTCTTACCTGGGTCACACCGAGCTCCTGGTTTCCTTTTGTAGGCAGGTTCATGACATCCGAATTCAAGATCCAGATCCAAGATCCAGCACATTCATTCACTAAACATCAACTTCAAAGTTTACAGAATGTAATAGTTTTTTTTTGTTTGTTTTTTTAAGAAAATACCTGACTTATAAATTATACAAATAATTGGCATTAAGTTACAGTATATGATTATACATTACATTTGCCTGCCACAACGCCAATGTACCTAATTTTTGGCAGGTCCTATCCTAGCAGCCCAATTTCTGCAGACCCACTTACTTGTGTAATTTGATATGTGGGATTGGCCTATGTAGGATATCAAATTTGGGCGCTGTTTAGTAGATAGCTGCCCTAATTTGGAACCATTTTCACCAACACATCTTTCTCACGTATTGTTTGTCCTTTTCTTCCTAATCTTTGCTCAAGGGCATAGATTGACGTCATCTTTCAGCAACACTTGTTTCTAGTCTTTTCTATTGTCATGATTGGTCAAAAGAAAGCTTGTGTGTGAGATTTGTACATTGATATATTTATAAACCAATTAAAGTATCCTCCATTTGTGACTCCTACCATTTTACATTTTTACCCCACTCTTTAGAATAGAACACTTTGTTAAAATACCCCCTGTTGCTGCATCATCAGGAAACAGATATCGTTTTCCAATCAATATAATGGCATTGTAATGAAAGAAAAGGAAATAAATAAGGCATATACATTTTTGTGTATTCTCACATGTAGTTAGTGTAGCCATTGTCTTTAGTCCATGTAAAATATGAATCATTGATCAATGACCAACAGATTTATTTTAGCCTATATATAAAGTTACAATCTAAAAATAAGGAAATAAAAAAGAGAACACAATAGTGTAATATTGTAGGCTCCAAACAGTAATGGAAAATATATTTCACTCACAAGAGTTAATTTATTGCAGGCTCTTATTAGTATTAGAAAGCCTTCTTTTCTTCTCTCTTCCCAGGTTAATAAATAAAATAAATATAAGGGAAGAAAAGAGACACAAACATAGTGCAGAAAGTACTTATAAAATAATACTTTAATTATGATTGCACTCACGGGATATATGAATAGCCTATAGAGATGTTCCTTTGCATAAACCTAACTTGACATTTGTGTTATTTCTCAGTGCAGGTATATGTGAAAGTAAAAATGAATAGCCCGTACCTCCTCTGCATGGATGAAGACACAGCAAACACAGAATTAATAGACCCCTACTACCTGTGGATAGGGCCTAATGAGAGAAACCTTAAAGGTAACTACTTTCCTTACACTTTTTTGGTTTATTTTTAAATCATCATCACACATTATCAGTAATGTGTAGAACACAAGTTTGCAAGTGTTTTCCTTCATCTCCTGTACATGTCCAAAGTATGAGCTCTCTTCTGTGCTTTGCAATAAGCTGTAGTGATTATGCTGCCAAGAGTGCCTTGGCACTGTCCCGCTTTTCACCTATTTCAGCTAGGGATAAAGTTGAAAAGACAAGTTAGTGATTGCAAACTTCTAATATATCCTATAAAAAAACGACATTCCATATGTAAAGTGGATTTGTCAGGGGTGTTTGTATATTTTGCAGAGACATACAAAGGTGACATCTCAGGTTAGAGTCCAGTGGCCAGTGGAAGGTTGGTTTACTTACCTTGCTGATAGCAATACACACACACACTGCACCCCTCACACGCACACTGCACCCCAAAACACAGACTGCACTTCAAACACACACTCTAACTGCACCCCTCACACACACACACACTAACTGCACCCCTCACACACACATTGCACCCCAAATACACACACTGCTCGCCAAACACACACACTCTAACTGCACCCCTCCCACACTGCACCTCAAATACACACACTCTAACTGCACCCTTCACACACATTGCACCCTTTCGCACACTGCACCCCTCTCTCAAACTGCATCCCTCACACAAACACAGTACCCCTCACAAACACTAACTGCACCCTTCTTCAGAGACAAGTCACAAACAAACACAGCGCAAGCACGTTAATACATTTACTTGCGCTGCTCAGAACAAATACAGAGCCTTTTTCTCATGCAAGAGTCCTTCACTAAGGCTCTGCGCATGGGCTGCCCTGGAAGAGCATTGAACCAACATGCTCATTTTGAGAGGGGGCATGCTTGTCATTGGCGATGACAAAGCACACCCCTCTGTGGCCCTGGCCCCTTTTCAGTGGGTCACTGTTTTTAAAAATGCCCGGACTGGATTTTTTCCCCAGTCCGGCCCTGCTGGTTACCAACCCATTACTGAAGGCACATCAACAGATCTGTTTCTACAGCAATACTGAGACAAAATTGACCATTAGTGATCTTTAAGTTAGGATGCACTGTTTTTCAGAACACATTTTTAGAAGTAGATCATGTTGCAAAGTTTCATGATCCTACCCAAAATCCTTTGATGATAATGCTTAAATACTGTGCATGTACAATACACACATTTGCATAAATTAGTAACTCTTTTGTAGTTTATTGTTCAAGTATAAATTGATTTACACTTATTTCCACCATGGTAGATTATATAAATAGTTTATTGACACCATCGATGTTTCTCATTCTAAAAAGATCTTCAGACCACCGGGTAATGCTTAGTAATATTTGTGGCTAACACCTTTTGAGATTAAAGGAATTTATTTTGGGGATTAGTGAAGTGCCAGGCAAGTTGGTATCTGTGGGGTTTTTCTCTCTTGCCGCGAAACAGCCTTCATTAAGCAGCTTTTCTTCTCACCAGCTAGAAAGGTCGTTTCAAGGCTCAATGATCATGGCATATTGCAAAATGTGTTATTTTACTGGAAGTGTTTGCATAGCCTCCCCTGCATATAATGCTTCTATATATATTCCAGCTGTCACATAGTGTCATATCCTGTTTTTGTTTCAGGGCAGAGTAACACGGATATAACTGAATCAGGAAAGCTAATGTTGAAGCCTTTTCGTAAAACCATGTCGGGTACCTACAGCTGTACTCTTTCTTACAGAACCATCAATAATAATTTTGAAGAAGAACTGACCCTCAAACTATATACTTTTTTAGTGCTTGGTAAGAAATTATATTTGCATTTTGATTACATGTAACCTTTCCAAAGTCATCCACAGAAAACAAATCTATCCAGTTCGATCAAGATAAATGGTAGATGTCTAGTAGATAAAGTTGGACAAAACCATTGGTGTGCAAACTAACTGCTCAAAACACCTGTGTGGACCAACACACCCAAAACACGCAATCAAACAAATGTACTAAAACAGCGGTGCCCAAAAGGTATATTCCAAGATGTTTTAAAACTACAGCTTCCATGATTTGTTATTCTAAAGAAGGCTTCCTCAAACTCCGGCCCTCCAGATGTTGCTGAACTGCAACTCCCATGATTCTATGAATGAAATAGATAGGCTGAGAATCATGGGAGTTGTAGTTCAGCAACATCTGGAGGGCCGGAGTTTGGGGAAGCCTGTTCTAAAGGAATGTAAAGCATCACGCGAGTTGTAGATTTACAATATCTGGAGATCTACCTTTTGGTAAAAGATCTATGAACTAAAAAAAAAAAAAAGCCAAAGTAATATCTAAAGAAAACATACATACGAGTCTCTCCTTGACTGTGATTATAGTCCATTTAGTTACAGTATGGTCTGCACTATTGTGTTCTTTTCTCTTTTTTTCCCTTTAAATGGTAAATGTACCCACTATGAAGTAACAATGGAGAATAAAATCTCCAGTAAACGTATACATTATATTGTAAAGTATACCAACTACCTTGAAAAGATAGTCTTGTTGCAGATATGATGGAGTTTTACTTTCCATCTTTTAACCTCTCACTAAATATAACTCTCACACCACGTCCCATAAATACCGTGGCATAGGACTAACCACTTCCCGTCTCCCTTCAGTCTGATAATTATCAAAAATTTGTGCTGCCAAAAGCCCTCGTCACCATTTATTATCATTTAGTAAAGTCACAAAAGGAAGCTTTGATGCCACCTGCGTATACAAGATATTGGGATGCATACCAATGAGCCTTGATAGGTTGCTTCTATTTATTAGCTTGCAATATAATGTCATATGTGTTGTATCAAGAATGAAATGCAGAGTGCTAAACCTTATGTTCAATAAACCTCAGCTGAGTACAAGTTTATTTGACATTCACAGCACTATTGTTGAAAACAATTGGAGGGCCAGGATTGGTTGAAAATCTCAGATACTTCCTGGTCCTTGCAGAACCTGCAGATTTACAGCAAATGACATAGCACAACTTATTTTCTTCTTGTCTTCATAATTATGAAGATATGTAGGAAAATGTATATCACCAAATATTCAAATTCAAACCTATTAATGCACACTTACTGACTTGGAGTATTTAGTTAATTTATGTCTCAAGATTTGTTGCCGTGTTTGTTATATAGTTACCGGTAATAAATGTTCTTTCAAAAAAAACATCATTAAAGGGACACCGTAGGCACTGTATCTGCTTCATCTCATTAAACTGGTTATAGTGTCTGGAGTCTTCTGGTCCCATCATTTCTATCAGCATTAAACAGTTTTTAAAGTTTTAATGTTTTAATGCTAAATAAGAGTCCCCGGCAATCCATCCCCTCTGTGCTGCTTTGGCTAATAAGGAAGTATTAGCCTGAGCAGAATTGGGCAGCTGTGATTGGCTGAGAGTGTCAGCTGAATGCTTTTAGCCTGTCAGAGTTCCAACTGACGGTATGAGTGGGTATGACAACAAGGTAGTGTGTAATCTCTGCCTTAGCTACACATACTGAAGGGGCCGGGCTGTGGGTGGCCAGGGGCTCTTATTTTGTGGCATACTGCACGAACATGGTGCAACACTGAATAGAGAGACAGTGCCAGGATACTCCAGGCACTATAACCAGAGATGCAATGCTTATAGTGACTACAGTGTCCCTTTAACAACAATGCCTCAAAACAAAGTAATTCTGTAAAATTTCTGAGTTTTTACTGTGGTTCATGCACGAGAATTCACATTATTTATTAAGATATTATCTTTGATATCTGTTTAAAGTTAATTTATTTTCCTTTATTTCATTTAACTTTTTGAGGTCATTTTTTGACTTAATTAGAGATGGACAAAAATTTCAAAATGTGTATATGAATAAAAGGGATTTCCAGTGCACACTCTACACCCAGGGAGAAATAAAATAAACACTTTTTAATATGGATGGGACTTCCCTTCAATATTTATTAAATTATCTTTTAATTAGGACCCCCCAATGGGGGGAAAAAATGGTAATAGAATCCAAACATTATAACAACTCCTGTACATTTCTATACAACTAACTACTATACTATAGTAAATTATACTCAATCTGTGTCAAACAACATGACAGGCGCACAGTCGGATTTGCCGGCATATGCGCTAACCTTACCCAAACCCCCATTAAAACACAGACACAGGTTATACTGTTGGAAATAATTAGTCCACAGCTTTATTAAATTATTAATAAAATAATTAAGGAATAACAAATGGGGTCATTGCCAACAAATCTTAATAATGTTAACCTCCCCCATATACATAACATACCCCTAGCAATGACCCCACAATAATAACAATAGATAACAATCTAAATAACATGTTAACACAGAAACTGGCCGCCCAATTTGACCACATTTCCACCAGGTTAAATTGTAGGGGTGTACCGAGACACCGCTACCCACCATATCGATTGTAGGGGTGTACCAAGACACCGCTACCCACCATATCCATTGTAGGGGTGTACCAAGACACCGCTACCCACCAGTTCCAGTGTAGGGTGTACCAAGACACCACCACACCCCCAGGTTCGGAGCCACCGACGGGCTTGAACCTACCAACCACGTGCAACACTGCCCAATCCACACTAAACCTCAGGATGCCCACTTTCTCCTTCATCTACCCTCCGATTTAACCAGGCCATTCCCCGCCACAGCTCAGGACTTGACACCTAAAGCTCCTGAGCGACCCCCACCACACCGGAATAAGGCCTGTTGAATGCCTTCCTGAAGGCCCAATTTAAACAGATCACACCTTACATCCGAAAATGTACCCCATCCCACCTGGAGTACCCAGGGAGCTTTCCTCCCAATTTGTTGTGTCTCACTGTTACACCACCCCCACATTTGATAAATACCGCCATCAATTTTTTATTAAGTCGTCCTCGACACCGAGCTACCATGGCCGGGTACGTAGTATGTCTCCAATGTAACCGAGGAACCATCTCGGACCGCACCACCACCACACCCGTGGCCAGCTCCCATAGCCGGTCCACCTCCCTCTGCCTCCACCTGATCAATTCCTTTTCCGGGACCATGCCAATATCCAGAATGTCCTGGACAGTACCCCTTGTTACCTTTCGGAAAATGTTCTCCCCTAATGTCTTGCCACCAAAATCCCCGAAAACCAAAACCACTCCTGCTCCACCAATTCCAAAGGAAAGCCCAGTTGCGTTTGAACCAAAACGCGGCTCCCATCTGTGCCCCTTAGATATAAGAATGACCCACCAACCATGTCACCAAACCTGAAACGAAAGTAATTAGCGACAAGGCATAGCCCCAAACACAAACCCATACGTCCATAGCCATTAAACCAAATAGACTGGCCTGAAACAGGACTTAAACCGTACTGATTCCCACCTGCCTAAACGTTTCCCTAGGTCCTCACTTAAAACCAGGCGGGGCGCCTCTGTTACCGCCATCATCCGGGAAGAATGGGTCCCAAAGTGCCCGGGATCCAAAACCAACATTGTCAAACCCCTCCAAACAAACACCTGTGGGAATTGAATCGTGACAGCATCGATCTGTCCCCTTTTACCAGTAAGCCACCCGGGATGTCTGAGCAAAGCTCCAAGTAGCATGATGCGCTTAACACCGGGCGTACCCCTTATCCCGGCAGGGAATATAGCTTTACCAAACCTCCTTTACCAGACACATCCATTCTTGAACAACCCTACTGAATCGTTACCTTAACCGACTGAGGTTCGACAACCGAGTGTAGAACCCCCCAACACCTGCCCGAAGGCACTCACCAGTTCCCCAATCCGAATTGCCCCAAGCCTCCGAGAAGGCCACCGCAAGCAAACTCACTGCAAAAGTAGAGTAATACACCACCAGGCGTTCCGTTACCCAAGGAAACCCGCCGCCCAGCACCGACATATTTCATACCTCTCCGTAAGACCCGCGATGCCTGACGGACGTGACAACGTTCCGTCACTTCCTCCCAATCGGTCGGTTTGAACCCTAACGACAATGCCGCCATGCTCCTGTCCATTGCCGATGAAGCTAACGCTGAACGAACAAACGGCTTAGGAACCACAGCAAGGTATCCCTTCGCCCCTCCTTTGACTGGGCCCCCACAGTGAAACCAACCGCCTTGTCCCACATATCTCAAACGTTCACATAGGCAGTCCCTGTGCCCGGTGCCATAGGATTCTGTATCGATCTTGCAAGTCTCGAGCTGCCACATTTCCTCCAGACCGGACTGTCCCTCCTCCCGCGCCCCCTGGGGCCGCCATTCGCAGCTTGTCCCCTTGTGCGCGAGCCAAGTAACCAGCCCCTACCTTCCGCCAACCAGGCACGTGGCGTGCCTGCACCCGATACCTGAACAGTGATACGAATCACCGCCATCGGCGTAGCTCCTGAACCGAGTTCCCGGCTGGATGGTAAACCACATGAACCCCGCCGTATTGTGCGTGAATTATGACTTTTCATCCCTTAATATTTCACCTTTTAGAGCCACAGCCACTCCCAATGGAAATAACTCAAAAGATGCCAACTTCGAATAAGAGGACTTACCTTCCATGCCTCCCACCACCGCCCTGCGCACCACCTGCCTTCCAGGTATGCCCCGGAATCTATGTTCCCAGAGGTATCTGTGAACAACTCGAAACCACCCGCAAAGGCTCCACAAGTAGCCTTTGCCATGAAATGACTACCAACCCAGTCCTCGCGACTAACCTGACATGCAACTTGAAACTGCCTTATGAACAACTGCGATTTCTCAGTGACCTTCTTGGACCTGCGAACCTTCAGCCGGAACTCCCGAAGTGCAGTCAACTGAACCCCAGGCAATCAACACTCTCCTACCACCGAAACAATTTCCATCCCAAGC